CCCTGCCTCATCCACTAAAGACTATCACATTTTTGCAACAGAACATTTTGTCCACTCTGCCTTCAAGCCAAGCCAAATTCTCCTTTTCACTAGCTGAGTGCTAGCAGAGGGGCACTGAAGGCACAAACGTGATATTCTCCCTAAATCAGTTTTGGTACGCTTGTGCCATAGAAGCCTGCAGCCACAGAAGCCTGCAGCCACCCTGAGCATCAGTTGTAAAGAGAATTTTGCTTATTCCCAGGCTGCAGCAGGCACAGTTCCTATGTAGTCTTTAAACAATTTGGCTGTCAAGCTCCAATGAGCTGTTTAATTATGGGTGATAGGGAGGACACAGGGGTGGGGTGGGGGGTGGTCCCTGGGTCTGCATGGGGCAAGACAGGTGGGCTGTAGCCGGGGCTGCACCAGGCTCTTCTTGGTAGGGGCTGGGCTTGGGGCAGGTGGTAGTGGCGCTAGGAAAGGGGCTGCGGGGGGGCTGCAGCCCCCCCAAATTTTGCTGTAGCCCCCTCATAGCCCTCCCTTCCAGTGCTGCTGCCACTCGCCTGGCGCAGCCCTGGCTCTTCCTGGTGCATGGGTGGAGGCGGGGTGTTGAGCCGGGGCTGTGCTCTGGGCCACTGGTGGCGGCACTAGGAGGGGGTTTGGAGGGGCTATAGCAAAATTTCGGGTTGCTGAAGCCACCCACCCCCTCTCCCAGCTCTGCTGCTGCCCACCCCAAGCCCAGCCACTGCTGAGAAGAGCCTGGCACAGCCCATAGCTGCAGCTCACCAGCCCCGCGCAGATCCAGGGGTCATTTCCCCCCTCCCCTCTCAATGAGACACAGCTCTGTCCCGTGCCCCACCCCACCCGGGCAGCACCTGCCCCAGCCCCACTCCCTCCCTCACCATGGGGGGCATTGATCTGCCCCCCAACACCCCTTCCCCCACAACAGACGTACCAGCTGCACACAGTTCTCCAAGCTGCTGGGCTCTGCTCCTCACTGCCCTCATGCTGCGCTGTGGCTGCATACGTGCATGGGAATTTATCTGCCAAATTACTGGCCGCATCAGGCCGATTTCTGATACAGCCAAT